TCGGTCGGGTTACAGGAAACAATGTTTTCAAGGCCTTATAAAGTTTATTTTAAAATATTAAACATCATTATTGAATATTCCCAACTCGTCCCAGGTCGTCATTTGGGCAAGCCAGACTGAAAATCAGGTCATCCAAAGTCATTCTGGGGTGGAAATGACGAGGTGACGAGCATGAATGTCGAACCCTGCTGTGTGTACCCTATAACACATTGTGTTTACTATATAACACATTGTGTGTACCCTATAACACATTGTGTTTACTATATAACATCTTGTGTGTACCCTATAACACAATGTGTTTACTATATAACATATTGTGTGTACCCTATAACACAATGTGTTTACTATATAACACATTGTGTGTACCCTATTACACATTGTGTTTACTATATAACATATTGTGTGTACCCTATTACACATTGTGTTTACTATATAACATATTGTGTGTACCCTATTATACATTGTGTTTACTATATAACATATTGTGTGTACCCTATAACACATTGTGTTTACTATATAACATACTGTGTGTACCCTATAACACAATGTGTTTACTATATAACATATTGTGTTTACTATATAACATATTGTGTGTACCCTATAACACAATGTGTTTACTATATAACATATTGTGTGTACCCTATAACACAATGTGTTTACTATATAACATATTGTGTGTACCCTATATCACATTGTGTTTACTATATAACATATTGTGTGTACCCTATAACACAATGTGTTTACTATATAACATATTGTGTGTACCCTATAACACACTGTGTTTACTATATAACATATTGTGTGTATGGTATTTTTACAGTACATACTTTACATTCTTGTACATGTATCTTGTCTATTATGTAACATGTACTTCCCCTACAGAAGACTACAATATGTACTAGTGTTTGTCCCAGACAGAACCCAAATATCTACACAAATTGCAGTATTTACTATTTGTTAAACCATATTTAAATGTATACATACAATTATATACACTTTTACATAAAACTGGACTATATGTCCTCTTAAAAAAAAAATAAATAAATAAAACATGTACTCAGCTAACAATAAATCCCAATAAAAATGACTTGGAATAATAATATATATGTGTGATAATATTTTCATGAATGGCTTATCTGATGTAATAAGCCAATTGAACAGGAAATGTTGGAAATCCTTCAAACCCTAGTACTACACTGTACATAGGAAATATTTACAAGTCCCCCACTTATAGATGTTAACACATAGATATGGACTTTTGTCTATGAATACAATTAATAAAGAAGTACTGAATAATTACATCACATGAACACACTAGCTATTAAGTGTAAAAGGTTTACTAAAGCATATATATAGGAACCCTCCTTTCATACTCTGCCATGTTATACATCAAGTATTCTCCAAGATGTCCATGCATATATACCTACATTTAAACTGAACATATGATTCTCCAAAATAACTGTCTCTCCTACTGTGTTCATTCTGTATACAAAGGTCAATGAGTTTCTACGTACATATACATATCAGATTCATATGTCCTTGTATAAAATATCAACAGCTTCTACATCTGACAATAATACGCTTTGTCTTTTGTATACATATTGGATACATTTATGTATTTTCTGGGTCAAAATATATATATTCAATATAGTGCAAAAAAAGGAACTGTAATCGTATTACATAATTTGGCTGTGTACTGTGGAATCATTTAAATTCGTAGGGGTCAATGTTCATGGGCAAGCAAAATTTTACTTAGTAGATTCAATAAATCAATACAATGACAAAATAATTGTTGTAAATTCGTGGGTAAGGGTTACTCACAAAATCCACGAACATCAATCCCCCACGAACAATGATGATTGCACAGTATTCTCTTTAATGACTTTTGCAGAAAGCAGCATCTGCTAAATCAAGTACATTGCTAAATGTCTTTTGTTTATATTCATATAAAGCACATTCAGAACAAATCTATGTTAACTTGTACAATCAATATCTGCCAAATATCATTCACGCCAAATAAAATACATTTATAGTATATACAGTAAAACTTGTTTAGAACAAACATGGAATCTACAGATGGACAGTGAAGTTTTTAAGGATCCCTGGCAAAATTAGGAACAATTTCTTGTAAATTTTTACAATGATAACGAAGTAGATAGTGAATTCATAAATGGATATAGCAAACTGATTTTGTATTTGACAGAAATTAAAACTACTGAAATTTACATCTAGCGAATTTTTAAAGATCTCAAAATTCAATTTATTGAACAGACATTATTAATTCAGTGAAATTCGGTTCATATCAGAAAACTTTTTTTACTTCAATTAAGGTGAGTTTTGTACTCAATACTTCCAAAAGTTATTTAGTAGTCATGCATACTTGAAGGAAAACGTATAATTGAATTCCCTGTAAATAAGGGATTCATCATACAGGTATAACGAGTACTGATACAGTGAAGTAAATTCACAGGTCCTAGTTACAACTGAGTTTTACTGTAGAAATGTCTGGTATAATTATCATATCTCAGACTAGTGCTTTTAATTAGTATTTCTATGTAATACATACCTATACAAAATCATATTTTGGCAGTATTCATCAATTAACCGCCATAGGAACAAATTATAAATAATCCAGCTTAAAAATTATGCAAATATATACAGTTACCTTACATACATGCATAGTTTTTACTTTAAACTGCAGCAAAGATACAGTTATCTGGTACATGTGTATGTATATAGATCTATTCTATGTGTGTTTATGTGCCTTTCAATTAACATTCTTAAATAGGCTTCAAGAACATGTTCTGGTAATTAACATATTATTCTGTGTCATCTGAGGTCGAACCAGCAGCTACAAGGAAGTTACAGTTAAGGAAACTCTCTTTAAAAAAAACACAACTTGACTTATACGTATTCAAACACTTAGTGTGTGCTTTCCTAGACAAAATAGATAACCCAGATGATATATTTGTCTTTACATGCTAACTGTGGCTAGTTTATCAAGTACATGCAACATTAATGTGCATGTCGACAGTTAAAAACAGCTAACCCTGCACTGTACACATTGCATATAAACAAACACAAATACCAAAGAAAAAAATATATTCACATCTTTGTGATTATTATATATTTACATTGTAAAATATATATATGTAATATGTCTTTCATTTACTTGGACGATTAGAAATATTACCTTTTTGAACTCTGTGAACAGGAATTTATCCAGTATACACAATTAAGAGCTCCGAGAATCTACCTAGATCTATCACAAAAACACTGCCGTCAGATCCAAACTAGAGCAGCTAACATCCAATAGATCTCTTGTTCTCTTATTCACAGTGGGTAGTCTATACTGTGTTATAATAAGTACACCATATCATGCTATATCCCAACTTGTTTATTCTGTATTCAAATGCTTGTACAAATCAATAAACAGCCAATGACAAATGGTCACAAGTCCTGCAGGCCTCTGTTTTAGTATATATCAGATCAACGTTGTTTTTACAATATCAGATCACTGTTGTACGTTATATGGTACTGATATCTAACAGAATACACTGCATTTTTGTCACAATTTACTAGGAATTACTACATACAGACCCTCTAAAATAGCTCAGTAAACCAGGCTCTGATTGATAAACATGTCAAATGATTGATACATGTATATGACTCTAATCACATCACCACCAGTACATAATCATTATGATGGTCACAGGTGTTATTAACACTGAGGCATATATTGTTACATTGATGAAGGAATGGTCGGGTGGGGGGTATATATATTGCATCTTGGAATTAGTCTTAAATTTATGCTATTGAGATACAATATGTACAATATACAGACCTGTTTACCCATATTGTTGTCTCTCAGTATTTTTTATCAGATATGTCAGTGAGATTTGGCATTTCCCCGTAAGATTTCACTTTTTTTCGATTGTACATATATTACTAAAAACAACTACAATTCTGATTACCAAAACATAGTGTAATAACAAAGAAAAACATCATATTTTGCTTTCTTTCGAGGGGTTTCTTTCAATTTTCAAACCACCTCGTCTTGGCAACCCGACATCACTTAAGTGTTTGAAATTTTTCTCTTTTTTAGCGATTAAAAAGCGTCAAACTAAGACAGACCAGAAAGAAAACTAACTGCTAAAATCCAAACGAACGGATTTCCAATTTCCGTATTTTCATTATAGCAAAACGTGAAATGTATTTTGGACTCAAAATCCGTACAAAATATGGCGAAATCGTAAGAGTAAACAGGTCTGAATATATTGGCTCTCCTGTCATATTTAGCAGCACTGTGTAAGGTATAAGGAATACCTGAAGCAGGTATAATAATAAGAAATTGTCTACCTCCTTAGATTTGTCACTAACAATTCCTGTGACCTTGACCTTCAATGGCCCATTAGCACTGACTAAGCTATTTTAAATCAGATTAAGGTCTAGAGATTCACTACCTGCAGATCTGTAGCTCTCCAGAAAATTTGAACTCAACTGCAGCCCTCCAGTCTGTCAACTTAAAAGTTTTCCTGAAGAAATAATGTGCAATTCTATAGCTAGAGGTGAACATTTTTGAGATCCTCCATAATAAAAGGAAACGACTAAAATTACGTAATCACATACATGAAAATTGTGTCTCATGAATGCATAAGTGTTAAACAGGAAAATGAAGTTCCAGAAATCTGCAGGGTTTTATTTGCAAATATTGTTGGGTATAAAACTCTAGCTTGACATACAAAACAGTGCCCCGTATTTAACAATGAAAATATAATTCTTATAATACCCTTATATATAATGTATAAAAAAATTCTACTCTTAAAAAGTTACAATCTGTAAATTATCTCCAAATAATATGTATCATTCTGGGTAAGATTTTTGGAAGATGGACAAACCAGATTTGATCAGAAACTAGACATGTAAATAAATTGTTAAGGTAATTGTTTCATAAAGTTTCATTCCACTACATGAAGAGCTAGTTATGCATTTCAGCTTACCTGTTTTAGGTGTTTATCCTCGAAGATTTGCTATTTCATTCTTGGGAGACGTTCCAAAAAAGATCCATGTGGGAATAAAACACTCTTTATTTTGATGCGAAAGCCTGCCACAGGGTATTGTGGGTAAACAAAGCCTCTATAATGTATCCAATTGCTTCCTTAGGGTATCAATATCTTTTTGTTTTTCTAACATAGGTCAAAAATATCTTTCCTGTATCGTGTCACATGACCTAAAAATAAGACAACATACAATGACACAGATATTAGAGATTTTTTCCTACGCACTGGAATGCAATACCTAAATACGTAAGCTGAGGTTGTCTGGCCAAATATACAATACAGATCATTGGACCATAGCAAGGTTGACATTTAAATTGCATGAAGCGTGATGTTTGAAAAGCTGAGTATACCCTTAAATAGGTTCATGTATTGTGTTCAAAAGAGGTGAATCATTTAGCAATAAAATGAACCAATACCAGGGTGTTGAAAGGAAGTCATGGTTAATCCTAAAAATACCTTTGACTGAACATTATTTATGCAAATTACATTTGATTTCAAGGTCTTGATAACGTTTTATAATAAATCAGAAATTTTCAACATCTTATAAAAATGAAGCCCAATGCTTTGTTATTTCTTTACATGTGGACATATAATATTTTAAGAACACAATTCACTCTCGCAGAGCCCTTTGGGCAGGATACTATAAGAATTTCACAAGCCAGCATGAAACAATGTTTACAGCTTAAACATTTATTTCAATAAATAGTAGAAATTACATGTGATGTGTTTGCTGGTACACTCTTCTCTACATGCATGTTTTTTTTCTCTCTCAATACATCATTCAGCATGTTCAGTGTAACATTTTTAATACCTATTTAAGTGCTATATTCTATATATTTTGAGCTCAAGTTCTCTTTCAATTTTAAGGTTCATTTTAAACCTTCCATTCAATAAAACAACTATCAACATCATTTTGTGTCCAAAACAACAAGTTAAATGCAACAGCTAAACAAAAATCATGGATAGATATATTGACAAACAGCTTTGCAAGCTGCAAGGCCAACATTGAATAATTAATTACACTTAACAGCTAAAAAATTGTATTTTAGCAGAATTTTTCATTACGAACTAGAGAGAGAGAGAGATAATTAGTACAGCTTACTCAAGAACGTATCTACTTCCACGGTCTACTTTATACTTTGTATACATACGTATATATTAAATTCTGCTGTAATATGAGACTGTTTCTCATGGCTGAAGTGCTAAACTCAGCACACTTTCATGAATGTCCAAGGATGAGCTTTTCCTATGCATTGTCATGGAAGCTCAGCTGCTGTGGTTTTTTTTTTTTTCACTGAATTGTCCTTATTTTGTTTGTTATATATGATAAACATGTAAAATACTATACTAACTAGTACCAGATTTGCTGATAGTACTAGTGGCCAACACTATTGGAAAATACATACATGGAATTGCACCCAAATAATAGTACATGTCTCATTAGAAATTACAATCTTGTGTCTGCATTTTACATGTAAAACTATATTAAAGATTCAAACAGCATTTTAAGATTAAGAAAGACAGTCATAAATATTTAAGAAAAAATAAAAAAGTGTTGTGCCATATTAGTACCCCCCCCCCTCCCCCAAATGAAAATACAAGTGATACACTGTTTGGCCACCACTGGACAAGCAGAAGGAAATGAGATAAAAGTCCCATTACAAACTCATCAAGACTTATCACTGACTTGATAACAGGTTCATCTTCCTAAGAAATCCTAATATCTTATCAAATTTACTGTTTACCAAACTCCTCAATATTGGCTCAAACAATACCGTTATATTAATGGAGCTTTCCACAGACACAATCATCTCTCAAAAGGAAAATCCATGAATTTTTCATGCTCGCCAACAGTGAAAACTGGAGATAATTTCAATCTTTATAATGCTTCAGCAATATTTCCTAGAGTGAGGCCTCAGCACATACACTCCCTAGTAAACAAGTGGTGAAACCATCCATATGAATTAATATTCACCAAGTGCCCAAACTGTTACTCTTTTGATGTGAGCTGTAGGAGAAATTTGTGAATGCATTACATATATAATGTACACAGTAACAAGAACTGACGCAGCAGTTTATGTAGCATACCTGGAGTGCATTACATGTTCCTATTCATAAACTATCACACAGAAAGATGTTCCACATTAAGAGATAAAGGAGAATATATATGTACACTACAGGGATCCCTCTAGTTAATTGATAGTATACAATCAATCTCAAAAAGAAACAAACTAAGATAAAAATTTATGACCCTGAGAGGCATGTGTATGTAGAAATATTTAAACCTTTGGCAAACTTTATGGTGTTACAAAACTAACAGAGGGACACGGTTGTTTCCCTATATATACATTTAGAATAAAAACAATTTGCACAGTGAATGTATTACAAAATACTTTTTAAATGTCAAAACTCTTGAAAGTACTTGATTATTCATGTTTAGGGAAAATTATTGCCCACAGTTTATTACAACCCTTGCTCTAACATTTATTGCTATGATTCATGTATTGTTTATAAAAAGTCTAGGACTGGAGACATGCTTGTATACCTAGTGACTGCCTACATGTACATACATATACCTACATGTATATACATCCTCTTTCTATCCCATACAGATTTCTTAAATATGCCATTCTTAATTCCACTGGCCAGAGACCCATGCACTTTAATGTTCACCTGAGTCACCTTTCTCCTCTTTAACATAATGTTGATAAATAAAGCGTCTTATATGCATCTCTAACTTGATCATGATAGACATGATTTTGACAACTCATGTACAGAATATTGTGGTTGATGTCAAAATTCACAGTTTCAGTGCATAGTTTTAGTGGAAGTTTATAAATTGCATGTATATTCAACTGTATTGACCCCATTCTGTGGCCCCATCCTAGCCCAACAGGGTAGGGACCAATTTGTTTTGTACATTTTAATCTACATTTCATAAGGGGTTTTTCTATTTATTCTGGTACATGTATAGATGTGTTTGTAAAGTTTCTGAAGAGTTTAAAGGATTTTTCTTATAATTAGCTCCCTCTTTGCCATGCTTTGAAAAAAAAATTGAGTCTGCACTCAGTAAAAATGTCAACACTTACATTATTATGATCATTTCTGTTCCACAGTAGTTCTAAAGAGGATAATTCAATCACCCCTAATTTCAGTTTGATTATTTCTTAATTAGGGAGTTTGGCCCTCCATTTGAACAAATTTGAATGCCCTTCATCCATTTATGCTTTGATACATATCTGGTTGAATTTGACATTCTGACATAGTGTTTCTGGAGAAGACATAAAAAATTTGAAAAGTTTAAAGATGACAGACAGACAGCGACAGACACTAGACCTTGAAGACAATCTTTAATCAGCCTTTGGTTCAGATGAGCTTGCAAAGCTCTTTCCATGAAGGAACATATGAATCAATTCAACAGCCGTTACCTGCATTCCTCTCTATACCTCATTTTTCTTGGAAATTATAAATATCAACATGATATCTGAGAATACTTGATGATGAGGAAAACACAGATAAAATTGATAATCAATGTTCAGATATTACAACAACTGAGAAGTAATTGGAATGAGGAAGAAACCTAAGACACTTCATCTCACCAGTCCTCTTACACAGAGCCCTTCAAAAGATTAAACATGCCCTATCCCATTCTGCTGACTCTAGAATAATCCTTTCACAATAAAAATTCAGGACATGCATCCAATAATCAGCCTTTCCACAAAGACCTCTGCATCATATTTAATGTACGGAGTATGTGTAATTAGCTACAAGCTGTTTCTGTGCTACTAATCAGTTCAGTTTATTAAAGTCTAGAGACATACATCTCACAGACAATGTTTACAATCATATACATTTTAGTACATATAACCATAAGATTAACATCCAACATGTACAATATATAATGTAATGATATTTTCAGTAATTCACAGATTGGTTAATTAAGACAATGTTTTTGTTGCATTCGCTAATCAGAGCATATGTTGATCATGGAGTGTAATAGTAAGAATTAAATAAAAGTACTCAAAAGTACTTAGAGCCTGGCTCATTTACTAAGTCATGAGTAAAGTGACCCTTGTACATATGTAATATTGGAGATGTTTAAAATAAAGAAGGCATCTGCAATATAGCATAAAAAACTCGGAAAATAACAATGAAATTAAGATAAAATCTAACAATGTACACAAAATATCAAATTTATAGTTTGGGACATTAAACCATGGTTTGAACATTAAACTGACATCTCCAGAAATAAACAAACCTTGTTGTAGACAAGGGAAGTCCTTGTGAAAACTTCTTGCATCTTTTTGTACAATTATTAGTTGCCAATAGCTGGTTGAAGAAGATGGAAGAACATGCATTACCATTAATGCTTATTTTTAAGAAACCATTAATTCACTTTTCTTCTGTTGATTTAATGTTCATTTTGCCTCAGCAACAAGTGAGCAGAGGTACTATATTTTTTACTTAATTTGGCAGTGATGAGTCAGCATATCTGGTTGAACACTGACAAAAGCCAACTATTGCTCTACAAGCAATGTGCCCTGCTAAAAAGATAACTAGAAACCACCACATATGACTTGTTTAACCTCGTCCTTTTTCCCTTCCTACCCTCATATGAACTTGACCTCTGTGACAGTGGACAACACAGTTGTCTCAGTCAGTCAGATGGAGACTACAACAACACTGTCTATCAGACAGTGACCAACACAATACAGGTGTCTGTCAGATGGTGACTACCACAACACAGGTGTCTGTCAGACAGTGACTACCACAACACAGGTGTCTGTCAGACAGTGACTACCACAACACAGGTGTCTGTCAGACAGTGACTACCACAACACAGGTATCTGTCAGACAGTGACTACCACAACACAGGTGTCTGTCAGACAGTGACTATCACAACACAGGTGTCTGTCAGACATTGACTACCACAACACAGGTGTCTGTCAGACAGTGACTACCACAACACAGGTGTCTGTCAAACAGTGACTACCACAACAACGATATCTGTCAGACAGTAACTACCACAACACAGGTGTCTGTCAGACAGTGACTACCACAACACAGGTGTCTGTCAGACAGTGACTACCACAACACAGGTGTCTGTCAGACAGTGACTACCACAACACAGGTGTCTGTCAGACAGTGACTACCACAACACAGGTATCTGTCAGGTGGTGACTACCACAACACAGGTGTCTGTCAGACAGTGACTACCACAACAAAGGTGCTTATCAGATGGTGACCACCACTACACAGGTGTCTGTCAGGTGGTGACCACCACAACACAGGTGTCTGTCAGATGGTGACTACCACAACACAGGTATCTGTCAGACAGTGACTACCACAACACAGGTGTCTGTCAGACAGTGATTATCACAACACAGGTGTCTGTCAGACATTGACTACCACAACACAGGTATCTGTAAAACAGTGACTACCACAACACAGGTATCTGTCAGACAGTGACTACCACAACACAGGTGTCTGTCAGACAGTGACTACCACAACACAGGTATCTGTCAGACAGTGACTACCACAACACAGGTGTCTGTCAGACAGTGACTACCACAACACAGGTGTCTGTCAGACGGTGATTTCCACTGACAGCTAACACCACAGGATGGATTAGAAATTTTTAGTCAAACCTACTTTTATAGCGTAAACCACAATGAAATTTTTTTTAACCCATTTATACTTTTCCGATCAGGTTTCCTGAAACATTTCCAACCACACTGCATAGGGGAACAATTTGTTCCACCTCTATTTGCCTCTAGGAATACTAACTGTTCAGACTTATTTTCAATATCTGTCCAGTAAATCAGCAGAGAATCAATCAGTCATTCAGTCAACAGAATTCTTTTTTCAATTCTCTTTTTTTCTCCGGGCAACTTGAAAATAATCATCCCATGAGAATTTCGTACCAATTCTTTACATCATTTTCCATAACACCCCGTTTTTACAGTACAAAAGATTTGCTTGGATGTGTTAATTTCAATCAATCATTGACCACTTGCATGCTATTTGCTCATTAGATAAAGTTCATTTAATATTAGGATGCTGTGTTTAGTGCTGCTAAGACTTTACTTGGTGGGTGATGAATTTTATAGCTCACTAATCTACAATTCATACCCTGATGTGCTTTTAAATCTGACATGTTTTCTAGATTCATACCCTGATGTGCTTTTAAATCTGACATGTTTTCTAGATGCAGTTGAAGATAGACATTTTCATTTCTACTATATTCACACTTTTTCCTTCATGAAACATGACATCAGGTCTAAAATGCGAAACATAATTTTAATTGTGCTTAATCAGAGTCTTGTAGAAATCAAGTGCACAGGAAAAACCAAAATTGTTTTTATATAAACATTTAAAGATTGTTTATAACAATTTGTAAACCTATTAACATCAGCATTAGAAACTATCAAAATCAAAAAATGTTGAGGTTTTTTAGTTGATTCTGTGGTACATGTATAAAGAGATTCGCCAATTCATGCCCACCACAAAATTTAGAAATTTAAAGCTACAGTATTGTTGTCTATCAACCAGAAATGATCATAACTTTTTCCTCCAACCACAAAAAAATTTACCACTTGAAAATAAGTTATTTTACAGTACATGTAATACGTATAGAGGAATCCGAGGTACATGACTGTGGTTCTTGTTTTTCTCAGTAGAAACGTTGCAAATAGATAGTTTCATATTCAGTAACAAAAGAAATATGCTTACAAATGATTTACACATATTAGCATCAATACTCCAACTCTCTAATTGAATGACAGCATTATGAAACCTTTATTTACGACTCCTAAAATACCTCAACCTGATACAGCTTGTTGCTGTTCTGATCAAAAAGAGATAATTGTAATTACATCTCTGACAAGGTCCTCAACAATACACCATCTTTCTACAGACA